GCCCCCGCCCCGGGTGCGGGCTGTCAGGCGATTCTCCCCTCGAGAAAAGCCCTCTCCTGAGAATCACCCCGCCCGCGAAAAGGGAATGTCAGCCTTGTCTTCCAGAAGTTCCCAGGAAACATCACCCCTTGTGAACTGATCGCCCTCTCTTTCTAGAATTATACGGGCATAACTTTCTGGGGTGTATTTCCTGCGTCACATTTCCATTTACTCACCAGTGCTTGGAAAACTTGTTTTTCCCCCCACTAAAAACACAGTAATATGAAGTTTGCACGTAATGTCTGTTCAGGTTTTCTAAAAAGTAAAGATGAGTTTAGAAAAATAGACTTAACTTTCCACAATCACAAAAGTAACAGATGATTATAGAAAAATTAGAAAAATAAAAAGTAATAGAAATTTTTTTTAAAAAATCCTGCTCTTACCTTCCATAGGTAGGCATTGCTAATGTTCGTATCTTTCTATTTTTTCCCATCCTGTATGGTCACTGAGCAGCCCCTAACAGACCTTTGACTTCGCAAAGACTAGCATGTAATCTCAGTCTCTCCTTCTTCCATGGCAGGGCCCTCACCAGCCATCATTTTTCTTGGAGAAAAGAAATATGAAGATGCAATTTCAGGAAGCTCCCATCCTGCTAACCGTCCTCAGAAGTCCACATTGCTTCTAAGCGCATCTCCTCGCTGCCGCCCAACCAGGTTCATTTGCCCACTGCCAGAAGGAAGCCAAGGCGCTGAGACGGTGGGGTTTACGACAGAGAAAGAGTTTATTCCACACGGCCTATGTGAGGACACATCCGGACAAACTTCTCAAATCCGCCTCCCTGAGAATTTGGGAGACAGGGTTTTTAAAGACAGTTCGGCATAGGCAATTGAATCTGCTAATTGGCTGGGTTCTAGGGCAGAACCATAGGGTTGTCGAAATTGTCTTCTTGCTGACCAGGCTCTTGGTGGGGGTCGCGAGACCAGTTGAGTCAGTTCCTCTGGGTCGCTATTCCGGGTGGGTTGGCCCTTCCCCTGGAATGTGGGACCTGGGAGATATCTCAGAAACTATCCCTAGATTTCACCCTACGTTTCACCCTAGGTTTCAAAAAGGTGATATTATCTATGGAGAAAGCTGAGAATCTTTATGACCACCAGCTGTGTGGTTCCAGAGTGGTAATTATAAAGAAGGAAACAGGTGGACTGTGGCTAATTATAATCATTATTTTTAGCTAGGCCTGTGCCTTATTTTTAGCTAGGCCCTTACCATAGTCTCACCTTGCATCCCATTTTTGATTTGTGTAAAGGGCGGTTTCATCCTGCCCTGCTCTGCTGTGAAGGTGTCCTGCTGGTGTCAGTCATCTCACCTCCACCCAGAGGAGAGACCTTGTCCTGAATCTGATCTGAAGTCTCAACCAGGTCCCTTCTCCATCTCTTCCCTCCTTCCCCCTCACTCCTGCGTCTGGCCTGTACTTCCCCCAATGGGCTTCTTCACTTTAAATGTTTTCTTATAGCTTCTTCTCTTCCAGAAAGTAGGAAGTAAATTTAGGAAGTATGTGGCCAAAGACAGGTGGTAAAATATGTTTAGGAGCCTTTAGGTTTTCCACAGCAGGATCCCAGGACAGCAGCAACAGGAGGAGGCTGCAATGTGGGGTGGGGTCTCCCTCAATCCGCTCCAGAGACCCTGTGCGTGCTCCCAGCAGCATCATGGGTGTTTGGGTGTCTGTGACCCTGAGGGATTTGTCTGGTTTCTGACTTTGTGAATTGTCTTCAGCAAATTTTCAATCCTAATCTGAAAAAATGTGAACTCTCTCCTTCCCACCCATACCCTTCCATACCCCTCAACCCTTGCTTTGGTATAAAGGCCATTTTAATATTCATCTAAGCCAGCATTTCTCTATGTTTGTTCCATGGAACAGTAGTTCCATGGAATGTTAATAAGTAGTATATGAAAAAAAAAAAAAAAAAGGGCTCTATGATTAAGTCAATTCAAGAAATGCTGGGTTAAACTAAATGAAACATTTTCCAGGACTTTAGTTTTTTACTTGAACCCCCTTTTAAGAAATCCAGGACTTATTAAACCCTTAGGGTGCTAGTACACATTTGAATCTCCAAAGGAATATGGCATGCAGCATTGCCCAAAGTTATTCAACCATAAAACCCTTTTTTCTCATACCTAGCTTAGGGCAGGTGATCCATGGACCACTTTTAGGAAATCTTGGTGGTCTAAACCAAACATAATTGGAGGGATAAGTTAGAGACCTCTATAGAAACAACAACAAAAAATGACTTTAACAAAGGTTAAATAAAAGGCTTAATAAAGGTGCAAGTGCAGTAGAATAGAATTTACTTATTTTCTCTTGGGAATCACTCATCCAGTTGAATATTTACCACCGTTGCTTCTCTTGGAGTGAACACTTAGGTTAATTTTATTTCCATTTGCTTCTGTCTACTATATGCATCTTTTTTCTTCACTATTTATTATGCACTATGTACCAAGCAGTGTTCTTAGTGCTGCACATGCATTATCTCATTAATTCCTACAATACCTGTGAAATAGGGGCTGTTATTATCAATCCCATTTTATAGATGTGGAAACTGAGATTCAAAGAGATCACTTGCCCAGGGTCCCAATGTTAGTAAGTGGAGCAATGAGTGTAGGTGAGGCAGTGACTCCACAGCTTGTGCTCTTAGCTATTACATATAGACCCTCACCTAGCTGCGTTTCAATCTGTATTTACAGCTAGCTGACTGTATCAGTGTGTGCTAATGCAGTTTCTTTCCACATATGTTATTTAGCTGTATGTAAAGGAAAACTCAACTCTGCAGCTCTGGGCAATCCTGGGCCAGTCATTCTTCCAACATGTGCCATTGGTTCAATAAAGATTAAATAAGAGGATATATTTGGCTCAGAACAGCAAATAGTTCTTTCATTGCTAGATATAAAGTAAAAATCACCTGACCTACTATTAGTGACTGAGACAACTGTCCTTATGTACAAAATAATAATAATAATAGCTATCACTTATTAAACATTTCCATTGTGCTAGGTAGGTACTACTCTAAGCAATTTTTGTATTAACTTCAATAATTCTGTCAACAACACTATGAGGCAGGTACTATCATTGTCCTCATTTTACAGATGAGGTGTAAAGGTTCAGTAACTTACTCAAGGTCACCCAGCTTGTAAGTGGCAGAGCTGAGATGCAAACTCAGTCAATCTGTCTTCAGAGCACAGACCCTTAATCACTTCTGTGCTTCTGTGTGTTAACTGAGCCAGGATCTGACCACAAACTACTAAGCTGTGATTTCACCATTTATGATCATATTTCCTAGTTGAAACTGTGTCCATGAATGTTTCTGAATACTGTATATGCACATCTATATTTGAGAATCATGTAATGTTTATACATTTATATGTGTACAGTATTTATCAAGAATGGAGAAGATTTTTTGGGCCCACAGGAAAGAAAATGAAGAACCACAAAGGTAAAAATCATGTACCCGGCATTTAGAGCTAAAGGGAAGCAAGAAATGAAAGTAGCTAATTGATGCTAGAAGATCTGGACCAGGAGTAGGGAACCTTTTCATGTTGGAAGGCCACGTTAATTTAGCTATTATCAAATAAGACCGCATTCAAGAATGAAAGAAACTTCAATTAGATATACTTAAAAATGTACATTTTGTAAAAATCTAATTACTATGTACTTAATAATTTCAAAAAATGAAAACTATTTGTTAACTTTAAAGTTAACTAAACTTTTAATGACTTTGTTGTGTCTGCTTTTTGTTGGAAAGCATTTGAATATTTGGTTGCAGCATGGAGGTCCACAGTTTCAGCTGATCCTCTAGAAGGGTATCAGTCATTTGTGACCTTAAGGGTGTCTTCATTTGGCTTAGGTAGGAGAATGTAGATTCACAGGAATAAGTGGTTGAAAGGCAATAAAGCATTTTTCAGGCATGTTGCCGAAGGCATGGGTATTCTACTGCATTTTTCCATATTTCAGCTGGATCTTTCTTAGCGTTAGACAATGACTTTAAAATGTCAGCTACTGAGAGCTCAATCAATTCCATCTGTAGTTGTTTAGGTCGTTTGATAGCAACTAGGTGAGGCTGAAATGCTAATTTGAGTGTGATGTCATGATTCTCAGTCAGTGAAACTTTCATTGTATTCTCCAATTAATAGGTCTATAACCGCTGTGTATTCTTCAAATGATTTGCATACATCATCCTGCTCATCAATGACTTTTGCTAACTGGGGAAAATGTTTATCCAAAATTTCTTTTTGAAGACGAAATGTTTTGGGAAAAGATAGCTTTTTTCGAAATGCTTGCATTTTTTTTTTTTTGCCACATATCATATATGGACTTAGTTTTACCTTGCAAATAAATATTCAAGTCATTTTGATTTGACATGATATCACACAGAAATGCTGCATTCCTACAGAAATCTTCTTTCAATAATTCACATTGCTGATTCTGTTATTCATAAAATTTAACTATCTGTTCGTGCAGAGATAAAATTTTGACTAACACTTGTCCTTTCCATAGCCAAAGCACTTTAGAATGATATGGCAAATCCACACTGAATACCTCATCATTCAACTTTAGAATGTTA